GGGGGGGGGGGGGTCAATGATTCAGAAAGCATTGAAACCAGTGGGTCAGGATAATGGGCAGGCAACAAGCATTTTCAGCTAGGACATCCCACATTTATCTCTCAGGAGAGGTTTACATTTTCCTTGGTCTACAGGTGACATTCATGCTGTAAGTGCGACATGTTTTCTCTAAAGTACTACCATGTCAGTGTACATAAATGGTCTCACTGATGGGATAAGGTACCACGATGTGTTATAGTCATCTGTTAAAATATTCAGTGTATTCAATATTTACCCTACAACTGTAAGTATTGTATAGATTTCTGTCTAGATCTTAATACAGAAACCACATAACTTATAATTATGTCTTTCAGGATGCACCAATCTCTGAAAAAGATGCACCGGGCCTTTTTCTTTCCTGGCTTGTAAAAAGGTAATTAAATCTATGTTTGCGGAAATTTGTTGTTAAGCTTTTTTCTTTACAGAACACCAAGAGCCAAAACACATTTGCTGTGTGTTGTGGTAATGTGTATATTAGTGCATTACAGTGCCATTCATTCTGAATATAAAAATCTAATATAGGAATTCATTCTGGATGGGACAATGTGCAGTGTAGGGCAGGTAACACCATACTGTGTGTGCAGGTGTGCACTGCATCAGGAAAAATGCTGCATGCCCAGTTTTTGGTCTGCTGAACAGTCCATCAGAATGAATTGGATGCCTTACTGCAATGCACATTAATGTACTACAGAACATGCTCAATGCACGAGAACAGACAAATTTGACAGCCAAGGCATATACAATGTATAAATACATATAATTCGTATAAATACTACATATACGTATAAATACTAAATTCTAAAAGGGGGTTATGCACAAAGCTGCCAATGGCAGCCGAGTGAATAACCCAGCCGAAGTGAAGTGAGCTATTTACTCACTGCCGTTCGGCCCCTATGTGAATAGGCAGAGAGTGAGTTGCTGGAGCTTCGGCTCAGCCGATCCAGATGAGTATTCACTACGGCTCAGTACAGCTGATTTCAGCCGTACATCGGCTGCACTTTGGTCAGCCGAACATGCTCTGCATGTTCGGCTGAGCCGAAGTGCAGAAGGGCTGCTGTTGCCCTTTTTATTCACATAGGGGCCGAACGGCAGTGAGTGAATAGCTGAATGCCGTTGAGCCGAATGCTATTCTGCTCGGTATCACGGTGGTACATTGACAGCTAGCTCCTCCCAACTGTTTCCTATTGTCTGGCGCGTGCTAGAGTCTTCTAGCAGGTCCCAGCCAATGAACAACTGGGCCGAGCTGGCCGTGATGTAATGGCCGGCTTCCCCGTTATTGTTTGATGACAGTTCAGTGTCTCCGGGTCATTTGGGGACGTTGACCTGTCATTACAACTGGGAGGAGCCAGCCGTGAGATCATGGCTGGCTCTGCCAAGCTGTCATTTTCGGGGCTTACGGCCGGCCTTCAGCTGGTCGCTCGCCCCGCTTCGGCTCAGTGAAGCCGAAGCATATGCCTTTCACTCGGCTGAGCCTCTCGGCCTATGTACGGGCTATAGCAAATAGCCCGTACAGCAGCCCTTCGGTAGATCCGAAGCTACGGCTGGTAGCTTTGGTTTCGGCCAAAGCTACGGCTGGATCCTTCGGCTCCTACGTGAATAACCCCCGTTTCTTTTTTTTTCCCACTTTGTAATTCAGCACTGACACCAGTAGAAAAGTCTGTACCAGCAGGGTGAAGGTAAAGACCACAATGCTTTGCGTGAAATCAGTGGTCCTCTCTGCTGCCTTGTCAAAATGGCAATGCTCATGAACTCTGCTAAGAGACTGAATTATAAATTAAAAACAAATTATATTTCTTTCAGTACATGTTTTCTTTAATGCTTTACATAGGACATGAATAGTAAGTCTGACCTAAAACAGGCATGGTGAAACACCACTATCCCTAAAGATTACAGGGCTCAAAACTAATATCTTGTTTAAGACGATCGGGTTAGTAGAATGTAGACTAAAAGCCCATTTTTATATTTCTCTTTTTAGAAAACCGGTATACTGCCACCCATTATTTGGTCGGTTTGATGTTGGAAATTTGGAATCCTATATAAAGTGTAATGATTACTTTAAGGAAAAGATACATATACCCAACTATCTCCAGTAACTGTCTGTGCAATGCGAAGGGAAGAAGAACACAAGCTAGAAGATTCCGTTCTTTCCTGCATTGCTGAAACAATTATAAATGAACATTTCACATTTTTTTTATAATTAAGTGAAATTTTATTATCAGTATTTTAAATGGTTTATAAATGTAAAATATATTATAGTTTGACGGCAACATTCCATAAAAAAGACTTCTCAGTCGATGAGATCTGTTTGTAGTCTGTTGCATTTGTCTGAAGCTTTTTCATTACTGTTTTCCATTTTTGCAATCCTGGATCCAAACTGCATTGCTCTTTTTGGCAGGACTGAGGAGCTACTGAGCCCTAAACTCACAGCTGTCATCCGCAAAATTAATTTTTCACCAAGTCCTCTGGGCAAAGTTAAATCTACTTTCTCGGAGATTGGCAGAGAGTTCAAGAATGAGACCACATTTTCATCAAGAAATGGAAACCTAAAAATAATACAGAACCACAAAATGTTATTGTGAACTAGAAATACTGGTTAAAATAACAACAACTGTATAATACTAGATGTGAAAGGCAATATAGAACCGAAAGGCAGCAAAATCCTGTATATAAAATGGAACAGACAAATGGTTTTCTAATGACTGACATTCAGCTACAATTAATAAGCTATACTATTGACTTATATGTTGAGTTGACCAAGATCAACCAAACTGGAAAGAAACTGAATCCTGCATAAAAAGCTCTGTGCTAAGAATCAAGACAAAAATCTTTAAAGTATCGGTAATTAAAATTGGGTAAAGATTTTTCCCCCCCCCTCGAAGGCGAATAAAAGAATCTCAATTGTTTCATTATTATTATTATACAGGATTTATATAGCGCCAATAGTTTGCACAGCGCTTTCATGCTGAAAATGGATTTTAATGCAATATTAGCGAAGGCTCAGCTCATATAGGAGTACTGGATGTAAACATGCACTCAGCTCATTTATATGTTGAAGGTTCGATTCCATTTTTATCTGCTGGTTGGAGCAGCAATACAAGTTCTTGAGGTCTGCAATGCACCCCACTTTATAATGACAATTTAATTTTATAATGATATAGTAATAGCATGAATTGAATAGATGCATTGCTAAACGTGCATATCAAGCCATCCAGATTAGACCACAACTGCAGCGATTTTCAGGCTATGGATAGACTGAGGTCAGGCTTTCTATTGCGGTCTCTGGTTGGATTTAATTAATAAATACTCCAAATTGTGAATCCACTTGCAAGATTTTAAACGTCATCTGTGTTTAGGAGGGTTCTCTTCCTCATGTGGACGCCAACAGCCATTAGAGGTTTAAAACCTTCCTGACTGCTACAAAATGTGTTTATTGATATTTATTTCCCCATTGGGGGATTAGTCCATAATGTCTGTTTTACATATGTCATATAGACTGGAATAAAAAGTTCATTTATATCAAGTCCAATGAGAGCACCAAACATGACAGTCCGAAAGTCTAAAAACTTAAAAATGGAATAGGTTCACAAACGTCAATACAGAACAATGAGCACGTTTCAAGGGACTCCAAGACCTCTGCCCTTCTTCTGGACTAAAAGTAATGGGTTACTATGGCTTACCTTGCTTCTTTGCCATGGTCACCAATAACTCTGTCATCTCGTCCAAGATTTCTAGAGGAAATGCGTCCCAATTCCATACTCAGCTCTTCAAGAAGACCCTTGTACCCCAGCGTATTGAATCTAACTCTATGACGAGAGTAACCACCAAGCTGTTCATCTGCACCAATACCAGTCAGCACAACCTATAGTGTGGATGAAAGCAGATTAAGCAGCGCTGTATTGTTTTAACATACACTGGGTTGCCAATATGTCTCTAAAAGGTGCCCATACACCTGACGATTATCGTACGATAATCGCGGGGGATCCCGCGCTCTTACGCTAATCGTAAGGTTGATGGGCAGCGTGCGACCACATTTACTGTACGAGCAAAACAAATGGCAAACACACTCATCAATTTGTTACCAGCTTTACAGCAAGGTGCACATGGAAGGACTTTATACAGTACAACAGCAAAAACGTTTCCCAGCACACTCACCAGCCAGCATGCAAAAAAAGTCTCACTGCTAAGGTTAAAAACAGAGGTTTAGATGCACGTCTTCTGCAGAAAATGTGAAAGCCGCACCGCTGCGCCAAGGCACCTCCATATAGTGCAGTCCTAACTCTAAACTATGAGAGTCTCCGTCTGCCTACAGTGACACCTCTGGCCATCAGACTTTCTGGTCCCTGACCCTTCATGTGCCGATAGTCACAATCTCCCCTTCTCCAATCACAGAGCACCTTGTATTTAGTTAAAAGAAGTCTCAGCACCACACATTCGGCTCTTACTATACTGTACAGGGTGAATAAGATTGATAGTTCAACAGAAATCTGCAGCCACCACACAGCACATAATTTATTTGTACATGTCCAAATATTATTTTTGGCAGAAGTTCAGATTAAAACTTCCTCTGTCCACCAATGGATGAGAAAGAAAATAGCATTTTTGCCATAAAATCCTTTTCTAGGAGTCCATTAAGGGACACAGGCCCCTCCCTCTGTGTTTATGATCATACTGCTCGCTACAAAACTGAGGCATGCTTGTAGCAGGAGGATTATCCTGGGCTGGCCTACAGTTTTTTTTAAATTTGCCAGTGTTTAATCTCCTGTAGGTGGCAGTATAACCTAAGGTTTAAGACTCCTTGGGGGTGATTTACTAACCTAAACACACACACGCACCAGGTGCGTGTGCATTTTTACACAGCAAAACGTATTTATCAACCAAACACGAGCAACGTGTCACATTTTCACGCCGTTATGGGCCGTTTTTATGTATTTACGTACGTGCGTAAATACGTGCACATGATGCATATATAATGCTGCTTCACAGTTAAGACAAAAATGGTTAGCTCATGCATTTACATTCATCAACGCAAGCAACACAACGTAGAGCTAATTTATACATCACCTTGCAATTCATGCAGGGCTTTGCACAACACATCTGCTGGGTGTGTACACACTACAAAGGTGTCTAGATTCCACCAATAGATCATGCTGGGAGGGAACACACTACAGAGGTGTATACTTGTTCGTGGCGTGTTTATAAGGTTAGTAAATCAACCCCCCTGTGTCTCTCAATGGACTGCAAGAATAGGATTTTAAAGCAAGTACACCAGAGGTCCTCTTTAGGCCATTGCCTAGATCTGCAAAATGTCTAGAATAAAAATAAAACAGGTCTACATTGCATTTTAGTTCTGCATTAACACATTATTATTTTCAGGCTTTTAAAGGTTTTAGCCATATTCAGATTTAGGTCAATTGCTGAAGGCAGTTAAAGTCCAATTGAAGCCTTTTTTTTCTGTTTGCGTGGAGAGTGATTAGACCCCTGTCAAGTTTGTACTATTGTCTGTGTACCTTGTTAGGGAGATTCACTCTCTTTATTTGACCTGGTGACCTTTTTCATTGAAAGTGAAAGAGAATCCCATATTTTGGGTGGACACTCAAACAGGAACAGATAGGAGACCTTCCAATGTGGACACTAGTTCTGGTGACCTTGCTGACCACCAGGGATTTCCCCGCACTTTGGAGGGATAAACTTTCCATTCCTGTTGTGGATATTAGACAGGAAGAGAAATCTCCACAATGGGACACAGGAGGACAAAAAAAAAAAAGCAGACAGGGGTTATAAAATGTACTCTATCCAAAGCGAACAAAAAAAAGCTTTGGCTTCAGTTCCACTTTAAGTCCATATTCCAAGGGTCCATCAAACACTGCAGGAGATGTCTGATGCAGGCGTTAATTACCTTAGAAGTGCTGGTGTAGGGTTTTAATTCTTCATCAGTACGCAGTGTACCTATTCCTCTAGAAGCGAACCAAACAGCACAGCCAATGCTATCATCAAGTACCGTGTTTAGAGGATAGACCAACTGCGATATGTACTGTTGCCTCATTTGCTTAAGTTCCCCCAGAGTGACATTAATTTCTACAAAATTCCATATTCTTGTTAGACTCAATGCTTTAAGTTCCTCCAAACCAGATCTGCCCGTCATTCGATCAGGAACATTAAAGGGATCTGCCGGCAAGGCATCAGGATTAGAATTATTCCCTGTTAATGGAGAACCTGGAATCTTCCTGTGGCTGCATTTTTTCAAGGGTGCCTTCTGCTGATTTGTGGCCCTCATCATGAAAGCTACATTCAAAAGGTCAATGGGTTCCTCAGGTGGAACATGACGATCTGCAAGTGCAGCCAAAATCATAGAGTCAATGCCACCAGAAAACAGTATTGCAACATTTGCTTTCCTTTCATGTGCTGGAGACGATGACTCGTGCAAGCGTGGGAGATTCAGAACCCGTTTCAGAACCGCTTCACTTAAAACATTTACAAATGACTGAATATTTTTCTTGTACTCTTCAGAAATCAGCAATTTGAGTTCTTCCAAACTTACTTTCTTCTGTTCTGGTAATGATTCTGGAACGTTTGTGTTCAGTGGAGAAACGGGCACGAGGAGTCTATCACTTCCAACATTTAGTTGAGTTACACATTTTGGGAGGGTGTTTAAAATCCATTTGTGTTCTTCATGGTGTACTGTTTCCCCTGAAAGCTCCAATTCTGAAACCCATGGAAACCATGTCAGTGATATAGACTTTAACAGCGCACAGGTACTCAGGTCACACCTGAAAATCCCAGATGCTGGCACTTCCTGCCAATCATCTGTATCAGCCGGGGATTCTGCCACAGACGTCAGACTCAAGACTTCTTTTAGATTGTCACTACATTTCCACAAAAGACTTCGCCGACCAAAAAAGTCTCTTCCAAACCAGAGGCTGTGATTTTTGCTTTGATAGTAAATAAAAGCCCAAGGTCCTTGCACCTTGGAAAAAACTGACAATAGGTCATGTTCATTATCACAAGAGGTTAAATGCTGGAACATTACAGAGGTATCATTAGCTGCAGACAAAACTTCAATTCCTCCGAATACTTCCCCGTTCCAAAGAAAAACATTGCCATTGTCATCATGTATAGGCTGCGGAGTCAGCTCTCCTCTTAAATGAAGTACATGCCCAGAGAAGATACAACTGTAATTGAGGGCAGGATCACTTCTAATCAGCTGCTGGCTCCTGTCAGGACCTCTTCGTCTTAGATTCTTGTTGTCTTGATGAAGGTTTGTGTCCACAGACGCACATAAACTGACAGTACAACATATCCCACACATCTTGGCAGGCACAAGGTTTTACTTCTTGTCTTGTAACTTTTCAGAGTTCTCAAGAATCTGATATGTATGTTCCAGGTCAGCCAGTGTTTCTGTAAGAATAAAACGGCAAACATTTCTAGGTTATTGATTTTCTACTTCTGAACCATCGTTGCTAAATAGTTTTTAAAGGTTTGGGCTCCAGGACCGGATTATTCTACAAAAACCATTGGACAAAATGTGAATGTAACTTAAAGTAAAGTACACCTGCATCTCATGCTTATGAGTTGATCGTGATCTTATTTATTACAGGTATTTATATAGTGCCGACAATTTTTACGCAGCGCTTTACATAGTTGTTCATTCACATCAGTCCCTACCCTCAAGGAGCTTACAATCTATGGTCCCTATCTCACATGCATACATTGAGGGCCAACTTAGAGAGGAGCCAATTAACCTACCAGCATGTCTTTGGAGTGTGGGAGGAAACCGGAGTACCTGGTGGAATCCCACGCAAGCACAGGGAGAACATGCAAACTCCTTGCATGACCCTGGCCGGGATTCGAACCTGGGACCCCAGTGCTGCAAGGAAGAAGCACTAACCACTACGCCACTGTTACGACAATAAAAGTGCTCATACAAACATGGATGATGACAGCAGCAAATGTATAGATCACATATATAAACAAACAGTGTCTCATTATGACAAGACAGCTACCTGAAAGTCCTTACAGCGGGGACTGATAATTTCCACAAACCAGTAATAGTTCTGCTGCTTTTCCCCCAAAAGAAGTAGGCTCAGAAGGTCTAAGCAAAGATGTCATTCCAAAGAACTGCAAGTAGGAACCAGATTGTGCTGGTTGGCAGTGCAGGGTTGAAATGCATATGGCTGAGGTTAGCTTGGGGGCATTTACCTTTGTTCAGAATCCTTAGAACGAAGGTAAAAAGAGCCTCAATCTGATGGATTGCTTGGAAATATGAGAATGATGAGAACCAATAAAATAATTGGGAAGTTGTTATGTGGTTACTAGTGGCTACGATTCTCAGTTCTATAGGAGATGAGCCTTATATTTTCACCGGTGGCCCTGTGGACAAGGATTTAACCATTATAGATTAAATGGTCTCTATGCATGTACCAATCTCCTCATCGACGCTCTGCTGCCTTTCTATCCATCTTTAAATACAAACACAACAGAAAAAGAAAAAAAGAATGCCCATGTGAACAAGCACTAAACATGAAACACATCTGAACTCACTTTTGCATTCACTGAGTGTTTTCACCTTGTCTGCAACAAAGAAAATGTTGCTATTGGGCTGCTGTCTGTACACCTTCTGAAATACAAACAAAAACACATCATGCAAGTTTAAAGTATATGTGAATTAAATACAAAAAGTTTACACGTGCACCTATACATTGAGATGCCATACTTGAACAACCAATCTACTAAGTTTTAACTGGTGATTCTGCCAGTCACAGTATTGGATATCGGGCCTGCTTCTGTAGGGTGACAATGCTCACCCACTTCCTAACAATGCAACAGTAGCATTGTGAAAGGGCTCTGAATGTCACAGGATGGTAAAGCACAGCAGCCTCTCTGGGCTCATATTACCCTCTCCTAAAAGGAGGATGGGGCACACATTACATCGCCATTACCATCAATTCTTTCCTGGTCTAGCCACATATCTGGCCCCAGTTCTCTCCTCCATCTTCATATCTAGCCACCTTTCTGCCCCCACCGCTCTCCTCAGTCTTCATATCTAGCCACATTTCTGCCCCCACCGCTCTCCTCGGTCTTCATATCTAGCCACCTTTAAGCCCCCACCGCTCTCCTCAGTCTTCATATCTAGCCACATTTCTGCCCCCACTGCTCTCCACAGTCTTTATATCTAGCCACATTTCTGCCCCCACTGATCTCCTCCATCTTCATATCTAGCCACATTTCTGCCCCCACCGCTCTCCTCAGTCTTCATATCTAGCCACATTTCTGCCCCCACTGCTCTCCTCAGTCTTCATATCTAGCCACATTTCTGCCCCCACTGCTCTCAGTCTTTATACCTAGCCACAATTCCACACCCAATGCTTTCCTCCATCTCCAGACACGTTTCTGCCCCCACTATCTACATATCCAGCTACATTTATGCTTCCCATCTACATATGCAACAAAATGTATGTTCCTTGTTTACAGATGAATCAAAATGTATGCTCCCACTGCTATCTACAGATCCATCCACAATCCTGTAACCTCTGCTTTATTTTAACTCATTCTCAGGCCATATTTTTGCCCCTTTTCTTCCCCCCTCGCTCCTGGTTTGGCACTTTCTCCCCCACACTACATATAACAGCATCTCACAACCTTGAGTCCCCTTCCACACTGCTTGCCAACACTATCTGCATCTACTTAGTTGGAAAAGCATGGTGTGGATGAATATATATAAATGTATACCTGCTGAACCTTGGCTGTCATTTCATTCCAAAAATGAAACACTGGTACACAAAAGGTCCCCCGTCCACCCCCACATCCAGGCATTAGTGTACAAAATCCAAAATGTAGCAAATAATCCTGCAAACCGTTTTTAGTTTCAATGGCAGTCATTTATTGATGTATTGAAAAAACAGCTAAAAAGTACAGTCATCTAACGTGTTTGAGCTGCAAAGCAGCCTTAATCAAGCTATAATTATGGGCATTTTGTGGCGGAGATTCCTTAGCAGATTGTGTCCTTTATAGCCGTTTTCCAATGCATCAATTACTGGAACCATTGGAATTCGAAGCAGGATTATTTATTACATACAAAGCACTGTGTGACTGCTATAACCAAGCTTGGATGTGGTTGGATGTGCACAACCAGAGTGCATGAAGAAGTGTCAATGGATTGACCCATGCCAAACTTGGGGGTTCAATGTGGCAGCTGCAGACAAATGTCTACATATGTCACAATGCTGGGACAAAATAGCTGAGCTGTAGGACCCCCCCCCCCCCCCCCCCCCCAAGATCAGTTCTCATCACGGGGGGCTTTTTCTAATATCTTTTGTGACCTGATGGCTGGGATTTGTCAAGCCATAACATTAATTAGTTATTAGAAAATCATATCTACACCATCCAACCCTTTCATCAACCTGTGAAATTACACATCACCTTTATTATCTCCCCTGTAGAAACAAAAATAATGCCAAAACTGGGGAAGTCCTTCTGTACCAAAAATTATACTATTTAATCTAAAATATTCCTTTATAGCAACTCTGTACTATCACACAAGCACAAGCACAGCCCTTCTAAATATGTGTGACTGACAAATCTTATAAACAGTATTGTGACATAACAGTTACAACTGTATAGTATAAAAGTGTAAGTGAATCATACATCTCTACACAACGTCCTCCGGGTATGAACACCACTTTTCCCTACAATGAAATCCATCCATTTTCGCAAGTGTGTTTTTTCACCACTGTGCTCCCTCTTTTCTCAGTGAACTCACCACAATTTGTGTCACCCAGTAAATGTACAGTTTAAGATAGTCTTTGTCTACAATGTGTATTGTTACTTGAATCTTGGTGAGCTTTGTGTATTTCTTCTAGATCGGTGCAGTAATCCAGTGTGAAGCTTTTCCTTTACAGGAGCTTCCTGTAACAAACACCAGTCACCACTGCTCTCTCTCCATGTGCAGGGTGTCTGGTCTTGTATCGGCCCCTCTTCTGTCGTTTCTGCAGGCAGCCTGTAGTGGGGGGACCTGATAGGCCACCCTCCACAGCTCTGTTTTTTGCACAAGCTATGTACAGCACAGTGATGATGTCAAAGCTGCTTTTACAAGATGATAATGGGGTTTGTAAAGGCGTTTGGTACACACAAGTGAATTTATATCCTGTGGCAATTGAGGACATTGATGATATTTGTCCCTGGAGTTCAGCCTTAAAAGGAGAACTATGGGGTTAGGGCTTTTCCCCATACTTCTCCTAAGGGTAACGGGAGGACACAAACTAGCATCCTCCCGTCACCCAAAGCTCAGTATACCGCGAGCTACAGCTTGCGGTATACTGAGACGCCGCAGCCGGTACGGATCCCGACATTTATGTCTGGATCCGTCCAGCTGTGTGACAGCTGGCTCTGCCTATCTAGAGGCAGAGCCAGCTGTACCCGCCCCCTCCCCTGTCCGTTTTGCCAGTCAGCGCTGGAGGATCGGACAGGGGAGGGGGAATCCAGTTCCTCCCCTGTCACGGGTCTCTGCCGGCTAAGGACCGAGAAGTGAGCGAGGGCCGGTATGTGTTCGCTCACTTCCCGATCTACTGAGCCGACCTGTGACAGTTTAATTGTCACAGGTCGGCTCAGATTATGAGGCTGAGTGAAAAGCACTCACCTCATAGTTCTCCTTTAACCAGAAAGGAGTAGAGACGACTCCTGTTAATAACAGTGACAGCATTCTGTTTTATCTGATCGCAGTCAGGTAAAAGTTTAAAATGAAGGATGGATTTACTTTAACAGCCATCCAGACGTAAACTTGACTTTATGTGATTTTGGAACAACAAACAATAACATGTTGCTGATTTAATAGACTATTCAACCTCCAAGTTCATTTTCATCCATAAAGTCGATTATGTCTGCGCACTGACCTGTGATGGGAGCTGACAGTTTGAAGAAGAAGGACTAAAGAAGACAAAAGTGTACATTTTCACAAGCTTACCCGATCTTTCTTCAGGTTGGTGAGTTCATCAATTACAACCTTCTGCTCTCTAAACTGAACAAGAAAAAACAGGAACGGTATTAGTAGCAAGTATTGCCATTAACCCAGTTAATAAACCCAGCTAACCAGTGTCACAGTGCGAATGGAGGAATCTCCCTAGCCCTCGTTACTATTGAATTCTGACACTGGTGGGTGTGCAACTGTCAGAATACCTGAACAGAGACTGCAGCCACTGTTTTGTTTTTTTAATTCTTTTTATTGATTTTGCCATATACAAAAAAAAAAAATCAAACCATTAAAACCGAGACAACACAATTCACATTAAGACATGCACAATACCACAAGTAAAACCACGACCAAACAAGCGCATTAGAGAAACATGACAGCTCGGCATCACAAAAGATACTTCAGTAGACCAGTATCTGTAATTCAGCCATACCACTCCGTCCAGATGGCAACCAGGCAGGAGGATACGCTGATAAAAGCCCAGGTCCGAGTCCATCCATGGAGTCCATTCTTTGTCAGTCCTAGTTGGTTTGCCCCTGCTTGCATATGTAGCCTTGTAAAGAGGAATTTATCAAGGACTTCCAAAGCTCCAACATTTGGCGCCGTAGGTCTCTTTCACTGCAGAATGAGAAGCTTTCTGGCATAAAAAAACAGCAGGGTTAAAGGAGAACTATCGGGTCAGTGCTTTTCCCCATAGTTCTCCCCAGGGTCACGGGAGGACACAAACTAGCGTCCCCCCGTGACCCAACGCTCAGTATACCGCGAGCTACAGCCGGGATGGATCCCGACATTACTGTCTGGATCCACCCAGCTGCGTGATTGACAGCTGGCTCTGCATATCTAGAGGCAGAGCCAGCTGTGCCCACCCCTTCCCCCGTCCGTTCCGCCAGTCAGCGCTGGAGGATCGAACAGGGGAGGGGGGGAAATGCCTGCAGGGAGCCATGAGTGACAGTCGCGGCTCTCTGCAGGGATAGATCGAGAGGTGAGCGAACGCCTGTATGTGTTCGCTCACTTCCCGATCTATTGAGCCGACCTGTGACAGTTTCATTGTCACAGGTCGGCTAGAACTATGAGGCTGAGTGATTTTCGCTCACCTCATAGTTCTCCTTTAAAGAGTCCTAGATGCCACATTGCGGGTCAAGGTGTCCACTAGGCCCAGACGACAAATCTTTACACCCGGTCGAATGGAATGCAGTCACTGTTTGACCGAGAATTATCAGCCTGGCTTCTGCAACAAAATTCAATTGAAAAAAAGAACAGAGGGGTCCCATACACTGCTTGATTTTCAGCCAAGTCAGCAGGAAATCCGAGCGAGTATGGCCAGCTCTAGGTAAATGGAAGTATGCTGTATTTGCTGGCTTTTTATACCCGACTAAAGACCCAGCACAGAACTGTTAAAGCAGAACGTCAGTTAAACATGTTATTAACCCTTGCAGTAGGGTAACCTCTGCACAGCAAGTACTCATTTTTGCCTAGGGTCAAAAACAAAAAACAGTTTGTCACCTGATCCTATGAGCCGGCTTGCTCTTAGGCTGGTCCCTGGAGCCCGTCTCCCCCTCCGATGCAGTGATCTAAGGCCCCGAGTCATCACATTCTATACACAGTGTATGGGACGTGAGGACGCAAAGGGGCATAACATTACTGCAGCAGAGGGGTAGAAGTAGGAGGGAGCGCCGAGGATCAGGTAGGTATAACTTTGTTATTTTTGACCTCAGGCAAAAACAAGCACTTAACCCCTGCAGTGCTTGAGATTTTTTTTAAACCAGAGTTTTTCTTTAAAATTCCACCTCCTGATCTGCTGACCCCCCCCATACTGCAGCTTTTTTGATTTCCTTTCCTCCCAGTGCTGTGACATTGTTTTTCTCCCCTTCCCAGGGCTGTGGCCCCCAATTTGTTATTCAGAATAAAACTACCTGTTTCCATTTACAAATAAAGAAAGACCTCACAGAGGAAAGCTAAAATGTTAACTTGCTTGGCATTATTTACACAGAATTCACCAAACGCACACACAGATTTATGCGAGGAAAATGTATAAGTTGCCCAAATCCCTGACTCTTCCTTCTGTTTCCTTGCTCAGGAACGTTGAATGGTAAAAGTCCCTTTGGGGCAGACTATCAGGGGCAGCTGTCATGTAAAAGAGAACCCTGGACAAAACGTGAGTTTGAGCCTTGGACAGAGAGATAAAGACTTAAAAACTCCATCAGGTTTTTATCGCAGTGTGTGCTCTGCTTGGAGAGATTCCCTCCCACATCCTGTCCCAGTGACACAACAGGAAGTGAGGACAATCATCCCCATTGCAATATAAATTTGAAAAATTTGAAAAACAATAAGATCGTGATAAAACTACACTCACATTGCAGCATCTGATTGAGGATACAGTAAAATACGTGTCATGCTACAATTTATCAATTACTTATGTGAGGCAAAACGAGAAGAGCTCATGTGTCAGCTGATTCTGTCCACAGAAAAGAGTAGTTCAAGTGCTACCAGGACAACAGAGCACATTGACAGAGCTCACCTTGGTATAGAAATCCTCCTTCTGCTTGTCAGTCCAGCCTCTGCAATCCTCCCCCGCAACAATGTCTGACATGTTCACACAGACTACAGGAGCCGATGACCGCTAGAATACCATGTGCCTGTACATGAGTACTGGGTAGCAGCTAATTCCCATCCGGCAGATTGCCCTGTGCCGTCACAGGAAACATGTGACCAGGAAGCAGGAATTAGTGGGCGGCAAACTCTAATGAATAGGAGCTGCTACACAGTAATCGAGAGGCTGCCTTCAGATCACACGTTTTTTCCTGTAGGTCTCCCTCTCTTACCTCTCACTCCATCTTCTTTTACATTATACCCTCTCTGTGCCTTTCTCTGTATATCTGTCTGTATACCTATTTAGCGCGGCTGATTTCGCGAAATTAATCTTAAAATTTTACAAAGCGCCATAGAGGGTCAGCTCTTCCATCAGTACCGGG